CGCCAGGAGCCAAAAAAGAATGAAAAGAAATAGACAAAAATCCTTTTCCTTTTTTTTTATTGCGGGGAGGCTGAAGGCTATGAAAACCATCTTGTGTTCTATTTTTGAGCTGATTTCCATATGCATGGCCACCTGAGGGAGGTCAGGCTGCCCGGGCCAACTTCCTCACAGGGAGAGGGACTGACGGTGACAAGGACACAAACCCAAGCACAAACCAAATGCTGTCCTTTCCAACAGCCACGCCACTCACTATCCTCTGGCACCACCAAGACTCTCACACGGAGAGGCAACTGAATCGCCACAGAAGAAACAGAAAACAACAAAATCATTTTCCTTCTACTGCTCTCTTGTTTTTTTTTTTCTTCTTCTGCTTCAAAGCCTGCAACTCTCTGCTGCGCCCTAGGGTTAATTAACATGAACCAAACTGTGAATGATCAGAGAGAATGGGAAATCTCCAAAGGTTAAGTGTCACATGGGAAACGTGTTGTCAGAAAAAGAAGAAGACTAGGGTTTTTTTTTTCCTTTTCAAATGTAGCGTTGCACAGGGAAGACATTTGTAGACACCTTTCCAAAACTTTGCATTTCTCCTGTCAGAGGAGGCAGAGCTTCACAGACTGGCTTCAAACAATATCTGTAATTCAGTGACATTTTGATGAACAAAATAACTCTGCAGTTTTCTCTAACTTGCTGATCTTTCAATGGATTTAACCCCTTTTTGTATAATAAAAGAACACACAACACAATTCCATAAAGTGATTAGCAAAAGCTGGCGGAAACAAGCACACATTCATCACAAAGCTAATCACTGCTTTTAAAGACCTACTTATTGAAATTGTGTCTCCTCTTGGTTTATCCCTGGAGGGAAAAAAAGAAAATGACTTCATGAGCCACAGATATCCTGGGTAGCATGTCTTGCAGGTGAAATAGTGAGATTTCTCTCTGTTATAATTAACATGGGCTCCTCTTCTCTCCCTGTGGCTTGTCGCTGACATTTGGTTCATGCTTGAGTGTCTGCCTAGCTGATTTCAATCTCTTGCATGAAGGTGAGGGTGTGTGTGTGTGTGTGTGTGTGTGTGTGTGTGTGTGTGTGTGTGTGTGTGTGTGTGTGTGTGTGTGTGTGTGTGTGTGTGTGTGTGTGCGTGTGCGTGTGTGTGTGTGGGGTCCAGTGGCCAGTCTCACAAGGACATTGGTGACAGGGCCTGTCTTCAGTAGATGGGATTAAGCATCATGACAATATGGATTAGACACCCACTCAGTCAATCCCATCCTCCAGCAGGTTAAGAGGTTGGAAGCCAAATGCTGAAACACAAATGAGTCTTGTCAGTGTCTCTGTGTTCTTGTGAAATTGCATCACGTAAAAAGGTCATATCTCCCTCGCTTCTGAACACATATTTTGACAATTTCCAAATTTATCACAGCGATCTCAATACATCGTGTCGGCAGTGACACACAGTATTGATTTACACCGTACTACGAGGATGAAAACACCTCAGAATGGCCGCCTCATCCACCGCCGCAACAAGCCTTATTTTACATTATTACATTATGTATGCAGGCTTGAGTATGGATAATGGATGAATCTAAAGCAAAGCAGTTTAATTACCCACCATCATTCTGTCTCACCTAGCTGCCGAGCACACATCTTATTAGCCATGGTGTAAATAAACATTAATATGCCACCTTGATAAAGACTGTCCTCCTCTTGCATGCTTCTTGGTATATTATCAGCATCGCCGCAAAATACACACACCCAATCTGATCTGGTGGCGTGTGCAAACATCGGAGGAGCTGCTGACGCTGGGCCAGACCATTACAACCACTTCACAGAAAATTATCATTAGTGCATCTGGCTGGAGGCCACGCAGCACCATCAAAAGATGAAACTGTACACACACAGAGTATGCACACATGTATCCGGTAAGATATAAAACACAAACCTATGTCAGACATTTGATCAAACCAAGAGGATCACAGCGATCCTCGCAAGCCTGGATCTTTGTCAGAAGATTCTGTTGCATGTCGGGCCGGCGAGTGGCAGAATAGGCACAGGGGGATGAGGGCTGTCTCTGTGGGCCGACTGAAGGAGGGGAGACAGTGGATACAGATAGAAAGCGTGTAGGTTAACCAGCCACAGGGTAATCTCATCCCTTCAACACACGGCAATAGAGAGGAAGCTTCAAGCAAAGAGAAAAGTCAGCATCCAACCCAGCCCTGAGCATCAAATACTGCTGATCTGATAAACTATATAAAAGTCTGCTTATGTCTCCAGGCAGGCTTTTCGAACAAACTGGATTGTGACTAGAATCAGACATGATTGATTTCATCTTCAATTAATAGCAAATCATCTTTCTTTTAAGAAAACTGAAACTTATGAGTAAATACTGCAGTGAACAAGCTGAGGTTGAGCAGCGACACTCATAGCTGGCATCAAGTAACACCTTCTTGTGAACTATTTTGGCTTCTTAGGATGACAGAAGCTGAACTCTTCAAAGCATTCAAATGTGTTGCATGTACACAAAGCCCTTTCATAAACTTCTCAAATGTCTTTTTTTGGTCTGCAGATGGACTGACTGCAGCCAAAACCCAAGAGGAGACAGGCCTTATTCTGCTCTCTTATGTTGTTTCAATTACCAGTGTACTGTACAAAGGAGGCAGCCTGATGGCATGACGAGTGCACAGCGCTGTTGTCTCAGTTTGAGCCTCATAAAAGGAAGCGGGCCTGACGATGCCAGAGGCGGAGGATCTGGCTCTTCGGTCTGCGCCGAGAAACATCAGCAGAGCGCCTTTCTTTAGAAGGAGATGTCCTTCAGTGTGGTGCCAACTCTCCCTGGGGCAGCAGCATAAGACACAACCTCTTATTTACCATATGCAGGATCTCTGCGTGCCCTTTACGAGCCGGGATATTCAGCATCACAAAGACAAAGGCCACGCTTTCTCTGAAGAAGCTGTGGTTTTGCTGAATTAAATAATGATAATTAAGAAAATATTAATCAAACTCTGGCTCTTGCGACTCTGCAGCTGTGTTGAGGGAGCGGGTCCTGCAGCTTAGCCTGTAGGAGTTCTCATTTAGAGTATGCCTGCGACCTATAGAGCTGCAGGCAAACACACACTCACCAACACACACAGATGCACACAATTAAAAGCAGACCTTGGTGGCCTACTACTCTATAATTAAACACCCTTTGGTGCTTTGCACAAAAGTCTGAGCCGGGTTCAGATGTGTCAAGGAGAGAGAGAGATGAGAAGAAGCTGCCGGTTCTCCAAGTTGCAAGTTCTGTTCAATGCAATGAATTAATAAAAAGCACAAACTAATACCTTCCCAATGTGCAGTGGGTATGACTGCGGGCCGGCAGCAGCTATACAGCTGTACTGTGAAACTTTAATGCTGCTGGAGGCCTGCAGCGCTGCCTGGGCTTTGTCTCTGAGGTGAAGCGGGGGAGCTTTCCACATGTTCAATCTAACTGGGACACGTATAAGAAACAAGAAGGGTTTGTCTGACCTTTCAGGCTAAACCGCCATGATATGACAGCCTGACAGCTGGCTCCCTATCAGTATCTTTGATTATCCAAAAAAACAAAAGTAATCAGAAATCCCCTTTCCAATTCAAACCTGTGATTATGGTATTATTCTTCACCTTTTAGGCTTCTGAGTGCTTGTCATTTGGCTGTAGTTGTTATGGTAATGTGAGGTATTCCATCTCCTTCCCTGCATGCTCTGTGTTTGACATTCATGGGGTTAAAGTCCTCTGAATGATGAAGTGCCAGCGTTTGGGACAGTAAATTGCATCGTTTCAATTGAGAAGAGAGTTCCCCTTGGGTTTGTGGAGGTCCCTACGGGCTGGCCTTGAACAGAACAGCATGTTGTACATCTATATAAAAAAGGGAAAAATATGGTGGTACTTTCCTCTTTATGATGCAGAGATTAATCTGTCTCCACATCCGCGCATAAATCTCACTCTCTGCTTTGCAAAATACTGTTTTACCTTACTTTACACTATATTTTATATTTTTATTGCCTATAAACATAAACCATCACAAAGGGCTAATGTTCTCATCAATATTATTACAAAATGATCATAAATCCAGCGCCTTGTTAAAATGTGAAGCCATTTCCCCTTCTCAGTTACTCAACCAGTGAAAATATTGGACAGAAGCACTATTTTATCAGGCAATTTCCCTCACAATAATGGATGATCTCCTATCATATTTGAGCCACAGTACACCACTTTGTTTTAGATTATTAAGTCTGTGCGCTTCCCCTCACATCCTTTTCCTCATCGCTGTGTTCAGCAGAACTGATCTTGCCTTTTGGGGCAATTTGTTCTTATACTTCAGTAGAAATGCCTTGACAACACTGGTGGTTATTTCATCCTGAGAGACCACAAACTAAACAGCAGAAACACACTGTATAGAAGCTTGTTTAGTGGTATGCAAATCATCTTTGCCGGAGGTAAAATTAACATTTTTAATTAAAATATTAGCACCAAACAAACACAGAAAAACACACTAATGATTAAATCATCTTGATGGAACCTCATAGTGCAAAAGGAAGAAGATTTTAATCATTATTCTTTATTTGAAAAGATCTATATTGACTTTACTGTGCTTTTCATTATTTCACAAATCTTCAAGATTGTGCTGTTGAAGTTTTGGATTTCAATTTAATTTCAGATGTCATTTTAAAATTTCACAAACTGCTGTTTAATTATGTTAACATATGTTGTGCAAATAAAATCTATGAACCCTGTTTTTAATGACATTTTAGTAAATGTAATAATATAATAAATAAGACAATGGAATTTATAATATTTTTTATTTTATTTATAAATGTAAGATCTCCTCATTTCTTCAGCAGGTTTCAGATGTTATAAGGCCTGAGACACAGAGGAGATGGAGCTGTACTTGTTTCCAATGCTACTGTAGCGCCCTCTAATGGTCTTTTATGTAAACATCAAGCTACAGAAAATGGGTTGAATGTAAAAAAAAAGTAGGGAACAAAACTCCATTAAAGCAACTTTATTGCTGTTTTAGTCAAACAAAAGTTAGATTTAATACAGACTATTCAAATATCAAAGAGATAGATGCATCTCCTTCAATGTTGCATTCAAATGTGCGCAGAAAAAGTAGGAAGGGCTCTGAGTTTGTTCCAAGTATGATATTCATAAGCCCACCTTTCCAGTGCACCCCTCCAGTGGCAGAATTTGGGTCATTTTGATACTGATGATTCATTTTTACTGCTCCGGTCCGCACAGGCCAAGCAGCACCTTCTGGTAGTCTCCCTTGGTGTGTTCCTGCAGAAACAGAGCAAGTGAGAAGGGCTGCACCACAGAACTGACTGTAAATCAGCCTGAATGAGTCACCTACCAGAATAGTCTTTTGCAAAGACTCTCCGGTGCTGGTCTTGTATTCAGAGCAGATCTTCTTCAGGTCCACCTCGCAGCGTGACACAATAATACTGGTCACTATCTTCTCCTTGGCTCCTTTACTCTGCGCAGACAAGCACAAGTCAGCACTTACAAGTTGTTCGCTTCAGACTTAACTTCAGCAGCTGATGTAACACTGCTGTAAGATCACTTTTGCCAACTTCAAATTCTGTGTTCCTGCAGCAAAATTGTTCTTTCACAAGCAGATGTACTTCTGTTCCAAAAAAAGAAAGACAAAGTCTGGCCCTCAAAATAGCCACATTTCCAAAAGAAGAAAGAGAACAGCACAGTACCTTCATGGCTTCATTGAGTCGCTTGGCAAAGTACAGCTGTTTGTTTTCAAAGCATTCAACTGGAGCAAAAAGAAAAACAGAATAAATATCCACAGTAACACGTTCTGTAGTTGTCTTTTGTGTTTCAAAGTTTATACATACAATAAAACGGACCTACAGAGTTACAATTTACTTCAAAAGTAGAACAGAAATAAACATATGCATAAATAATATGAATACATGATAAACAAATGTGTGTACCTAGCACCAGGAAGGACTTTTGCAAGTCTCCTTTGACTTCTTTGGCAATGCTCTCCTGCATGTCATAGGGACTGTAACTCTTGTACCTCTGAAACACTGACAAGCAGAGAAGAACGATTTAGATATTGAGAATTCAAAACCAATACTTTTGTAACAATAATAGCAAAAGGAAACAGTGCGTCTTACCTTTCTGCAGGTGGGGTACGCTTCTCTCAGACATAATGGAGATCCAGATGGGCACATCAGTTCCTTTGATCTTCACCCCAGCCTCATAGAGGGCCTGATATCAATCAGCAAAATAACAGTAGACTTATTATGTATACTTTATAATGTGGCATGATGGTGGGTGCCACTCCTTTTTAGATATCAATACATCAAAATTAAGTAATTATCTTATTCACAAAACTGCCAACTGCATAAACTTGTACAAGTGATCCGGGGTTTTCAATCTCATTTCAATACATTTTTTGTGAATAAGTCGGTGGTGAAAAGTAAGAACTTAACATTAGCTAGATATAGAATACAATTTAAAAAGGTACAGATTTGAAATGAATCAAGTTTAGATTTCACAAACAAAGTAATACATGGGCAACTTACTCTGGCATCTTGATCAATCTTTTCATGGTCTACGACAGCGATTGGAGCTGCTCTGTTGGTCTGCACAGAAACAACACATGACTCAGGTCAGTTTAAACGTTATAATTTTACATTAATCATAAAGACAGGCCCTAACAGATCTCACCTCCACCAAAGCCAGGAGCAGCTTGGCAAAGTTCCCAGAGGTGTCACCAGCCACGTCTTTCTCCAGATCTTTCTTGAACACTGTGGGAAACCATGATTTTTGTTGAGATCAACCACATATAGCTGATGAAAGTGTGGTTCAAGAACATTTAGACAAGTCTCAAGACCTTGGATGAACATAGTGAGCCTAGGTTTTACATGATATATATATATATAATGCATGACAAGCACAGTAACCTTTAGGTGATCATTATACATTACAGTGTATTCACAGCCCTGTATATGAATGCTTGGGATGTTTTGGACTCACACTCCTTGTAGACCTTCTTGATGTCCACCAGCTCCTCATTGCTGCGTGAGCACAAAACCTCAATCAGTGTTTCTTCATCTGTTCCTGCTCCCTGAAAGAGAGATACATCTTTGTTACTCTCTTTACGTGACACTTTAGGATATTCACAACTATAATTTAGGGTGTAGCATTAAAGCAAGTTCAGTCATTTGTCCTGTAGAGGGCAGTGTAGCCCTTCTGTTAAATCCACTGATGATGAGTAGCACTGATGCAATGCGTGTCCTTTACCTTGATAGATCCTCTGATCAGTGAGGCATCGTACTGGGACGTGCTCTTCATCAGTCCAAGGATCACTGCTTCCAGAGAGCCAGACAGCGCTCCCTTCAGGGCTGAGATCAGGTCCTGAAAATACATCAGTGTTAGCTTTATGTGTCCTTATTGTTTTAAGCCACCACAAAGTAAGAGCTGTGAAGCATTTTTTTTTTTTTTTTTAAGGCTTACTGTACCTTCTTTGCCCTCCTCTCATAAGCGAAAGCGATGTCTCTCCTTTGTGAGTAGGTCCGCTTTGTGAGGATGTCGATGATGGTTTGTTCATCCACCCCTAATGTTAGAATGAAAAAGACACACAACATTACACACATTGAGTGAGACAAAGGGGAATATGGTGTAAAAACTGGGTTATAAACGACAGTGTGTCAATATGTTATAAGGGTTTCTATAGGGGGATGTAAAGTATAATGTGTATACTACCAAACATTTAGAATAAGGATGGCTCTAATTAGTTTTTTTACAAATGTTTTAGGTGATAATACTATCTCACTTTTGGTGAAAGGATGTTTATTAATTTTCTGTGGAACCTGCCAACACTTACAGTAAGAATCTAAGCCTTCAGGCATTCTGTGTGCTAAAATGTTGAATGGTGTTGGCACACAAATGACAAATAGGAAGCTTGGAGTCATTTCAACATATAATGTGTTTGGATTTAGCTTTAAAAGTGTTTTGGGAAGAATAAACAAACACAAGAAGGGCCTGGCAGCAGAGATAGCTTGACACATGACGTGGTCACAAGGTACTGTCCAAGATCAAACCCTCATTAGTAAAGAAACATCATGACACATTAAACATATCATTCACAACAACAAAATGGTGGACTGTTGAGGAGTAAGCGGTCAGAATGTTGCCAACAGCTCCCAGAACAAAGCTCTGCCAGCTCCGGGGCTCAGACTTGGAGGTTTTCCCAGCACGGTCAAACCATTGGAGCCAGGATGCTGACTCACAAATACCAGCCACTCATCTGTAGGAAGGACAAGCAGAACCAAGCACTGATTTTTTTTCTCTTGCCTTTGGTTTTGATTGCAGTCTCTATTCTAGCAGCGTCTGTGTCAGGGTTGAAATCCTTAGCAGGTACCACCGTGGGGTGTTTGGGTTCATTGGCCTGGGGATCCAAAGCACATTAGAGTGATATTAAATGAACGCCATGTTATTTAAGGTACATCATGTATTGTATGAAAAGTAAAATGAAGATATGACATTACCCCAACGCTGAGACACAGCTGTCCCAGGAACTCTGATACCATAGCCATTTTGAATGTGCTGTAAAAGATGACAAAACAGTCAACACTACACAATCTTGTAATCACATCTATTTGTAACCCTATCAGTGACTTGTCTGAGCTGCAGGCATTGGGTCATGTTTGTTTTTGTCTCAAGATATAATCACTTCAGCCCACCAAGGAAACGTCTACTAAACTGAGGTTGTTGCAACAAGTGACATGTGATGTTGCTTTTGGTACAACTGAGTCACACAAATCCCTGCAAGAGACTTTCTCCATTTTTATCAAGTTGTTCTTTTGATTTCAGTTCTTTGCCACATTCACTTTATGGTAAAAAGGTTAGATACTATTGAACATCCATTAACACATTTAAATCATTATTCAGTCTGACACACTCCTTAACACTAGCCCCAAAGAGACACACCCTGGAAAAGGCTACTGTACTGCAGTCAACTGAGCACATTCACAGCCATACAATGAAAGAGGTTAGAGCGCTCACACATTCTTACTTAGACATAACTCAAGAAAAGTAAATACAAAGCATGTGTGCACAAAAAGAAAGGAAATGGTGTGGAAGTAATTTGCTCATGACAGCAAGTTGGAGAATTCCCTTAAACTTCCCTGCATTGTAAAGTTAATCTAAGTTATACAATGAGTTAGTTCAAAGTAAAATGTATAACTTCACTGAACTTACCTTAGCTGAGTTGAGATGATGCAGAGATATGTCCAGGCAGTGTTTAAGTGGAATGGGTGTTGAAGGTTTATCTTTCGGACAGAAACAATTCCCCTTTCACCTCCCCTCATTCAGACTCCCTCCCCTTTTCCATGCACACACGACTCCACCCTGTTCCACTAGAAGCTACTGGAAGAGTTGTGAAACTTTGGTGTTTTCCCCCAAAACACTATTGAAAAGTCACTGGAACATCTGTACCCTCAGGAAATGGTCAAGGTGATGTCTTGAATCATTCATTCCACACAAACAGTTATAAAGACATATCACATATGGTTACTTAGACAAAGTTTATTATTTATATTTTTTCACTAATTATAATTACCAACATGTACAAAAATAGAAAGTTCTAGATTCTACTCTCAAAGTGCTTAAACGTTCACATTTATGTTCAAAGTCTTAATATAACACCAGTATGAAATGATGTACATTGTCAGTGCTTTCCTTTCCTTTCCTTTCCTTTCCTTTCCTTTCCTTTCCTTTCCTTTCCTTTCCTTTCCTTTCCTTTCCTTTCCTTTCCTTTTCCTTTCCTTTCCTTTCCTTTCCTTTCCTTTCCTTTCCTTTCCTTTCCTTTCCTTTCCTTTCCTTAGCAGTACAGGTTCAGCTCCTCACCTGCCTCACCTTATATGAAATGAGAAGACATGATATTGAATCCTTTGACGTGGGACTTCTTAAAATGTCTTTTTAAGTAGGTTTTTAATATACTTTTTACGGTTGGCTGCACGGTTCTTGTTTTGTCGTTTGCCTACTGCATTCCAGTGGTTCTTTGCCTGTCCGGCTCCATGGTTGTTGTACTTCGACTGCGATGAACCATCTTTCGCTGTCTGGTAGGATGAAGGAAGGTCAAAAGAAATGTAAATAACTGGGACTTCATTCATGTAGGATCATACATTATCACCCCAAATAATATGTTTATCTGTTATTCTCGGATGTACAAATGTTGACAATACAAATGCCCAGTTTAAATTATAAGTTTGCTATTGTAGTTTAAAGATGTGTTAACGTCTTGCTATGTGGACTCAGACAGGCATCTAATGAATGTCTCAGAGTCTACACCCCTAACCCTGCTGAAGAGTTGTTGATTTTGCTCTCTTTTGTCTCTGCTGTTAGTTTTGGACATGCGTAGGAGAACTATTCACTGCACTGACTCAGCCTGTCTGATAAGGACACGACTGAGGGCTTTGCACCCACCACCACAGGGAGACCGCATTGTATGCATCTTGGATTTTAGAGAATTCCTGAGTGGGTGTGTACTTCATAGGCATTAACAAATAAACACTTCTACTGGTTTCAATAGTCTTTCAACTCATTGTCATTACTTGTCCTTTCATGATCTCCACTGCTATAATATTGTTTCATAGTACCATCTATAAATGCAGTAACAATGGTAACGTAAATACAAACCTGCACAAAGGGTTTTGGCGGGAAGGTGCAGGGGACACGGCCGTGTTTCTGGTGGAAGGGCAGCACCACAGACGGATCAACAGGTATCCAGGGGACGAGGCCGTGTGTGGGGGGCTGGGGGACGGAGCTGTGGACCTGCTGCAGGTTGTATGCCCCCCGACTCACTTTCCCATTAGCCACTTTTAATAGGGTCACAAATGGTTCCCCTGCCTTGTGCGCAATCAGGTACTGTCCTTCCTCTAACCTAGAAAATCAAATGAAGTCATTGAAGGTGTGTTAGCGTCAGAAACCCACACACTGAGACATGTTGGAGCATTCCGAGGGGGGAACAGAGCCTTGAGAAAGCAGAAGGTGACGCATGCATTATGTGCCATTGAGTAATTGCTTGTGTAACCCTACAACACAAACATGAAGGCAAACTCATGCTTTTAGCCCGAGGCTGACAGTCATAACTGTTTCACAATTTCGTCATCCTAACAGAACATACAGACAGATGATGCCGGATAACTCCCAACTAAACAATAGAACTACAGAGGAGGACCCAACCCTTCCCCAATTTGGACCGTACATTCATCAAACCACATTTTCCATAGTTTTACACATAAAATATGTTGGGTGCTTGCATTAGAACCAACACATTTAAACCTGTAGATGCATGCCACTACCATTCTTGTGAGGGAGCTCAATAAATAATGTACATTCAAAGCTAAAATAAACACTGTCGTCGTCATCAACTTACCCAGTAAGCTTTTTCAGTAGGTGGTGCAGTATATTCAGAGACTTCGATGGCCTGTGGATGGAACATTCATATTTCAGTCAGTTTCTTTTGGCAATCTTTTACACTAATTCAGATGATTAGAGGAGATTTTAATAAATCAGAAATTATTTATTTGTTCCACAGCGGCTAAATGTACATTGTTACAGCAAATGGACAGTGCAGATAAAAGGCACCCTAAAACGTAAATTAGAGTAGCCCCCGTTGATGAAAATGGCGTAGACTATTTGTTATGTGACTTTACTTTAATATGACAACATTCGTCAAGATATAATCATACAGGGGTTATAAGGTGAAACCTAAACATCTGTGCACATCTGCTGTAAGGACACTCACTTGAACCCACAGGAGATGTTGGGTTTCCAGTTGACGGGCAGCTTTGTGAGCAGAGCTACTTTTGATGTGAGCGCATTGATGTGAGCTGCAGAGACAGAACAGGAGGGTGAGCGATACACTGAGGAAAGATCAAGAGCTAATGAGCACATCAAGAGCTTCACTTCATCATCAATGCCTCTCCTAGTGCTTACAAAGTAATTAGCCTGTGTTGATTTCCCAGCATTGTTACAAGCTTAAGTGGGTGGTAAGAAATGCTTATTGGTCCAGCCTCCCACTCCAGCATGTAATGCCTGATTATTCCAACTGTGCCTTCCTTCAATTATGGACTGTTTTAGAGCCTGCAGCCACAGCCAGAAATACACAACTGGGAAAGCCACATGATAAACCTCATGATAAACCTCATGATGAACTACGAAGCTCTAAGCATAGAAGGAAGTCCTTTATCGGTTGCATCATAATGTTAATAGGTGAGAGTTATTGTATAGTTTCATAACGCTGGAATTGTATCACTGTTTCCTCACTGGCTCATCATTTTCTAATAATTCTGGGACAGAAACCTGAGACGTTTTTTCCTCTTTAGACATCTAAGGTTTTAAATGCCTGATGAAGGGTGACATCCACTTTTTGGCAAAGGTATTTCTGTCAAGCTGAGTATAAGAAAGCAGTATATTGTTGTAGTGACACCAACACTTATGCTCCAGCCCAGAATGTCAACTATGCCAACAGACTGGAAAGGGTTGTGCTTTAGAGACTCCTTTTGCCTTCATTAGATAGAACAAATAATCATTATGCCGTGTAGATGACGATGTACAGTCCCAGAGAGAACGCCTACACGAGTCAACAGATGAATGTATCTCGCACAGAATAAAGTTGAAGTCTTTCCCTGAATCTTGAGCAACAGGGACAGTAAGCAGTTTGGAATAAGTATAAAGAGAATTTAACTGAAGTTCAAAACAGCATTTAGCTGAGGTCTGCACAATGCGTTCTCTGTAATTCCCCATAATCAAATGTGGCTGTAGTTATGGCAACAAAGTAAACGTAATCAACACAGAGACACAGCAGGACGGTGAGTCATCTGAAGACTATTCCATTGGTTTGTGGGAGGATTTCCATGTTGACTCTACTGAACCCTCTGAAGGAGGGAGGAGAAAAGTCTTGTTTTTTATTCACATAAACTACTTTTATTATATTGTTGGCATATATGTTAAAAATAAATTAAACACTAAAAGGGATACTGACTATAACACTAGAATAGAGAGCATTTTGGTAACATTCCTGTCTCTATTTTCACAGACGGAATATAGCATTGTGGGTAAGAAAAGCAACACAAGTCTTACCTATGCAGGGTACAGTGCTGGAGTGGAGCAATGTCTCGGTCCACAGCTGGCAAGCCTCACTGCTGTTCAGACACTCAACTCCATAACTCAGCTGGTACTCCAGCTTGGGCAAGATATGCACTGGCACATACTGTGGTGAAGAAGAAAACAGAAATCAGGCTGATGAAGATTTTGACTTATACTTTCATTTGTGAAATTACATTTTTGGAGGATGAGTGACGACTTATACCTGGTTTTGGTCATTTTGGCCGACTCTCCTGCTATGGGTCAGTGACACAGAGCTCCGCACCATGAGCAGCAGGTCCTGCAGACTGTAGAGCTTGTAGAGCAGGTTGCCTTCTTCTGGAGCGATGTAATCTTGCTCATCTTCTGCACCAGCCTGCAGGTCTTCTGACAGTAGTTCTGTTGGTGGCAATAATGTACGATATGTTATATAGAATCAGAGGATGAAACTCTTGTTAATTGTCACACATCCATGCACACAGAGCACACACAGTGACATGTAACCCATTCTAGTTATAGGAGAAGTGGGCAGCTATTGTACAGCACCCGGGGAGCATTGGGAGTGGGAGTGGGAGTGGGAGTGGGGGGGGGTTGTCCGGTGGCTTGCTCAAGGGCACCATGGCAGGGCTCAGGAGGTGAACTCTCCAAGTAGGAGTCCACGCTCCATATTTTAGGTCTGTTCAGGGACTTGAACTGGCGACCCTACGGCTCACAGTCCAAGCCCCTACTGACTTGAACTGGTGACCCTACGGCTCACTGTCCAAGCCCCTACTGACTTGAACTGGCGACCCTACGGCTCACTGTCTTAGCCCCTACTGACTGAGCCACTGCTGGTTAATGAACCACACAGAGAAACAACTTAAATCATTGAAAGAACATTTGTTTGCCACTAACTTTTATGCTTTGTATTTGTACTGTTGGCCCCTGGTGCAGATTCGTGAGAAGCAGCGCCGCTCTCTCCATCCTGGTTGTTGTTTCTCTCCAAATATGAGGACACACAGGGCTTCACCAGAGACGTAGGATAAGAGTGAACTGAGGGTCCCACACCTCGGGCTGGTGAGCTCATCTCTTGGGATACGGTGGAGCTTTTGGCCGTGTCACTGGCACAGTTGAACATGGCTGTCTGCATGCGCAGGATGTCACCCAGCTGGTCGCCGGATACCTTTGCTTTTTTGGATTGTCGTTTCTGATTTGTTGGTTTTTCAGGGGAAGAACACTCTGAATTTAGAGAATCAGATCTGGCGTCAGCAGAGAGTGGTGTGGGCTTACATTGTGTAGTACGTGTTTGAGCTGGAGACACAATGGAGTCATCAATGACCAGTTGATCCTCATCAGAATCTCCCATAAAAGGTGGGTCTTCGTTACATTCCTGAGCAGAGTCCGGTCTCATGTCTTCAGTTTTTGGTGCAATGGCCTCATTCCCAGCTGGCTGATTTCTCTCCTCTGTTACGGGATCATCCTCACCTGCCACTGAGGTGTCCATCTCTTCTTGTGAACTGCTGGTAGTGTTTGCAGGACGCTCACTGGACCTTTTAGTATTAGTCACAGACGCAGAACTTGATGCTTTCGTACTTTCAACACATGCATCCTGCTCGTTCTTCTTTTTCGGCATCTTTGGGGTTTTAATGGGTTTCGTCTCACCAAATGTCTCCAGGTCAGTAAGGTCCACCTCAAAGTCAAGACCACTGTTTTCACCATACACTACATTTCTTTTTGAGCTCTCCTGATGGAGAAACAGAAAACAAATGATTATTGTTCTGATAAATAAGACCACGTTAATGATATTACTTTTTTTGTGCGACCACATACAGAGAGTTGATGCTCATCCTCACGAAGCTCCGTCATTAAATGGAAGACATTTTTACTCCCATTCTTCTTGATGGAGAGCTTCAGACTCTCCTCATGGAAGACATGGCTCCTCTCTTTCACGGTCATCTCAGTCTTCAGAAGGGGTGAGTCTATATACACAGTCTTCTTCTGTCTATTGCCTGTAAATAAAACATGTGAAATAAAGGATGTGTGAAATGGTGCCACCATGAGGCCACTCAATGTCATTACACACAGTGATGTAGCTCAGATTTCCTTACTGCTGCATAGTGCATTTCTTTTATCAACATGATTTAATAAACTAATGTCATAAGCTCAAGGATTATATTTTAAGAATGATATAAACTTTAAAAAACGTTTTAATAAAAACCCTATCCTTTCCTATAAAATTGCTACTTAGAAATCCAGCGAAATATTCTTGTTGGTCTAAAATTTCAAAACCACTTATTGTGAAAAAATGTAAAAGTGTCACTGAATAAAATAACATTATAAAATGCATCTCCTATTGTAGGTCTTTTGTATACACACTGCTATTTGAATCTGTCATTGATATTAATGTAGCAAGGTCAATATCTGGGGTCATCATCTAACACATTTTGTGTACATTTAAAAATAATTTTGTAGTTTTTGTTAAGATGTATGTTACTGTATCTAAGTTATTTAGAGCAAAAATAATTCATTCTAATATCTGGCTTTTACAGGATACAATTGGATGAATTTTTGGGGCATTATCACCATGACTTTATAGCTGAAAGTGAGCAGCAATGCAAAGTAAAGAAAGAAAAAGAAAAGATTTTTACCCATTCGAAGCAAGCCCTAAATGTGTCCCAATTAATCTTACGTCAACTATAACAGCCTGAGTATCTGAATGATGATGCCGTACCTTCTCCTGGGTTTAACTTGATCCAAACCGGTAATTCCCACTGTTCTGCAAAGTCTGGGCCATGGTTATCTAGCAGCCTTACGAGGGCGTCTCGAGTGAGACACACATGAGGCTCATAACGAGCACACAGGCTGCTGGCATTAACATCACCGCTTATTGTCTGCAGAGAAAAACAAGACCGGGTCAGACAACCAGAACTACAGTCAAACCAACACAGGTAACTTCTCAACAGTCTACTATTAACTGGACTTTGACATCTTTCAGAAACACAATTAGCACTGGTTTTGCTGAGCAATACAAGAACACCCTCTGGTGTCTTTTGTTAAAACTGCAAGAAGTGAAATGGTGTAACAATAGACCTGCGGTCATGAATCCTATTCTAGCAGTAAAATAGCTTTGTGACTTGCTAATTAAAAAAGAAGAGACAATTGCTTACAGCGTGCATGTCCTTGGCTTTTTTAGCTGGAGGATTCTGTGATGAAACACTCTGATAATCCGATGCAAGCTGTGCATCAGCAGGCACCATCGTGTGGTCTGTAATATCCACATTGCCCTGGAGAAATGAAGGGTACAAATATGGAAATGGAACAAGTGAATCAACACCAAAAGACTGATTCTGCAATTCATCACTTCAAGTTGTAAAGGTTGAAAAGAAAACTGCACAATGGCATAATGAACAACAAATGAAGTGGTAACCCTACACTTCTTTGACTAGAAGAGCTCCCGTGTGATAGTAGCACTTCAAAAGTTCATTACCATGATCAGCAGCTGTTTCTCAAAGGTCAGCTTCAGCCCTGGGTTGAATGTTCCCCCGGTCAGACTAGTCATCTCATGGATCTGGTAGAGCTCAGGAAACGTCCTGATGTGCTCCAAACACCCCCTGAAGAACTCCTGAAGAACAAATTAGGGCTCTATGTTTTAATACTTATGAACATACATCACAGAGCTGATGACGGGGGCAATCCTTGCAGTATCACTACCTCTGAATATTGCATAGCTCCCTGTGATATAAAGTTGTAGTCGTCAACACATATGTTGCCCACTTCTTGCAGGTACCTCATGAACTGCATCACTTCATTGTTTACTCGTGCCTGCAAGTTCTGAAATATTAGAACATACTATTAGAAGACCCTTGGCAAAAAAGGACAGGCAGGATTGAAATACCATTAAGGAGTTAATGTAGGTACCTTTGGAGGATCGCTTGCGTTCTTACTCATCATAAAGCCAAGATAAGTCTTCTGGTCGTTGATTGACAGGCTGGACGGACAGGGGTAGGGCAGTCTGGGTTCAGGGTAAACAGCACCCGGCTCTATCTCAATCTGCTTGAGCTTTACTCTTGATTTCTCTGTATCCCTACATTCTGCTGCACCCTGCCCATCATTGTCTGTAAACGGATCGTCAGTATCACCGCTTTCAGAGCAGGATTCATTATTGCTGATGCAACTGTTGTCTTTAAAGGCTGCAGCGTCTTTTGTAGAAGAAGAGGAGAAGGAAGCTTTTGAAGTCCCACAGTCCTGTTTTATGTTCTGTACAGGACTTGTGGAAGGAGAAAGAAATTGAGGTAAAAACATGTTAGATACAGATATATAATTTAGCCTTAGAAAACAGAGTAAAAAATTGTTTGAGCTGATTTATTATCATCAACAAACCTTTGGAGAGAGTCCCACAGCTCTCTGATATTAGGTGCAAGTGAATATTTGTCATAGAGATCTTTGGTAAAGAAAGGAGCATCGGGGACCTGGGGGTCCTCCCTTTAATTTAAAGAAGAAAAAAAACAGTATTTGAGGCACTGCATTGTACCAAACATATGCAACAGTTTCTTCATCGCTTTTGTGGGTGGTGGACAGTTTATTTTGACATGAGAGTGTCTCAAAGTTTGTGTTTTAGGGTAGTGCACATTATAAATGACCATTACTCAACGTAATAGATGACTCAGGTGTAGTGTCATTCTTTTCTGCTGAGTTTAATTTTGTGTATCAGCAAGGGTTTTGACATTAAATTAATCTTCAGAAGCTGGCAACTCATTTTCAAAAGTACAAGTTCCTGAATCAGATCCTGCTGAGCGACTCCACACAAATCCACACAAAATAGTATTGCAACGCTGGACCTGCCAACTTTGTTGGATTTTAGACAACCTTCTCTTGTATATAAATGTTTGTATGACAATTCTGCAGTTTCACATCATTTTGACATTGATTTAAAATCACTTGGTTATATATTGCATGAAAGCTTTTGAAAAGAACTGATTTGGAGTTATTCAAGGTTCAAGGTTCTTTATTTAGTCATACGAACATAGCTACAGTGAAGTTATGCCGATGAAAATCTTGTGTCATTATATGAAAGATATTAAAATTCATAACCTACATGTTATCAACAAAGGTGGGCCATATAAGACTACTTTATTATATTTTTAAGCCTAAATATTTTTCACCAATATGGGCAAGTTAGTACGGAGTTATTGAAAATAACGTTGGTTTTATGTCACTCAATTGGTCATTTATTGATTATCTCCAAGTGAAACTCTGTGAGACAACGGCTCTTAAAGATCAATTCACACAACTAACTAGCAAATCTCCTTAACAAACAAACAATGTCAGGCCTTTGACAAAAAGATAACGTTTTAGCGGTTTGTAATAAGGCAAATTGTTATATTATGTATAGGCCTACATGTGAGTATAATTCATTTTAAGTACCGTCTGTTACTATCAAATTCCCCTTACAGCTGGACAGGGTGACACAGTATCAAGTTTAGTAGGTGTTTTTAGACTTGTAATAACCTTATATTTACAGTCTATTGTAATATCCAAAACATAACAGAGTATTCCCTATCATGTCAGGTGGAGCAGCATCAAGTCAGTTAGAAGAACGCAACTTCCGTTTCAACCTTCAAAATAAAAGCAAACGTTATCCCAACGTCTCTACGACAAAATGTCTAAGAAAGCTTTCTAGATCAAGAACACCGTGTTTAGTCTCTATAAACTATGTTGGGAACTAATGCATTATACCAACAAGACAGAAAAACGTTGTCAAGTCAAATTCTGGAGGTCAGTTCAAGTCTAGAGTCAACAGTACATTTTTGTTTGGCGTTAGTTAAATAGTTTAGGTAAGTCTAGGCAGAACATGCCATTTAGCTACATGGCTTAGTTTAACAACATACAAACATTTCGTTCAACTAAAACAATTCGGTTTATTATTATTTCCAGACTCATTATAATAGCTTGACTGCAGCTATGCTTGCATGTTGCAGCTCTCTGGTTGAGTCTTCCCTGGTACTTATTAGCGTTTTAAATAAAACTACGTCAACACTTATGCATACTTTTAGAGTTACTTAATTTCCGGTTAAGACTGACCTTCTGCTGATGCTTACAGTGAAAATATGACTTACCATACTAGTTCCATTATAGCCACACTAACCAGAGGTCCGCAGAAATGACAACATTAAAGCTACTGTAAATAATGAGTAGCCACATGGGCTAGCAAACCAACGTTTGCCAGGTGACCTTCTTCGTCTGTTGAAATGATGTTGACATTAAAGCGCTCTGTGGGCATCGCTGCCCCCTGTCGGACATCAAAAGTAAATGATCTGTTTTTTAACTGTATTTTTTTATTAACTTTCTAGTTCATCTTCAAAAAGTTAAATGTTTTCCTTGTAAAGAAAACATGTTATTCGTGCTTTTATTCAAAATGTTTATGAACATTACAATACATTCTTGGGAAAATTGGGATCAATAAAGTACCATCTTATCTTATCTTATTCCACATCTTTATTTATGCATAGATGTCGTTATTGTACAAAGCTTTGGCCATACTGTGTGTATGCCATTATGGTCATGTCAATAAAACTATTCTGAATTTGACATCCTGTTGTGTCTGTTTCTGCAGGCCACAATATCCTAAGATATGTTTACATTTATTAAATTTTTTACTTAAATTATGGAAGGCACTTTTTAGGAGGTGTTGCCACAGTCCTTCTCTTTTTCTTGAATTTTCGAACCTAAATGCTCATATCAACATTGGGTATATGAACCATCATGTAAAAAGATATAGGCAACATTAAATTAAATATAGTGTTCCAACAATAATATCAAGAGTATTATTATACACATGTATATCGGCATAAAATTGTTCGAAACCTCCTGTTTGTCAAGGTTGTGTCAAGAAATTGAGAATAATGCTGAATGTTATCCTTTAGAAATATCTGCATTTCCAATCATATGCATATTACAGATTTTAAAGTAACCAAAGACTCTTTGGTACTTCTCTAAATAGACAGATTTTCATATTGTGTCATCAATCAATTGTGATAGTGAAATATGTCAAGACCACCACCAAAAAGGTCTCATGTTGCTTAAATGGTTGTATAGCTTAATGTCTAAATGGCAGATGATGTAGTTTACTATCAAAGTATTTGGACAGGTATGTTCTCTCTATTTCTATGTTCCCTTTAATATTTTGTTAGTGTGTGATTAAGATTATCTTTGCCAGTTGTTAAAAACATGCAATATGATTATTTAGTTGAAAAGAGTGTGAGCTGAAGAGAGATTAGACAACAGAAACAGATAAAGAGTCAGAAAATAGAAGCCCATTACAAGCGGTAAATTTTATTATGGGATAACAGCACATAAAGCACATCTAAAATCGATGTGTCCAATGCACTTTTAATAAAGGTAATATTAAAGGTACAGTTTCTAAGTACAATATAACAACATTCATATTAGAATGAAAAGTATTTAAAAGACAACATTAAATTTCTTATTTTTCTTTACAGCTGTATTTACAAAATGAATCAAAATACTTATTTTCATATTTAAGAATCAGACAAGAAGGAGCAAAACTAAGTTTGTGAATAGACTACCTGCTAAAGAGACTTCAAAAGAGCTGGATAAAAAGTTACATGATCATCTGTCCCCATTTTAACATCAGTAGCAAACGTGTGACTTAGAAATGTGTGAAAACCACACACTAGTTTCAGCTTTCCCATAACTTGCACTGCTTTTGCATGGAAAAAGAATGCACCCCTGCTCCACCCACCCTTTATGTTAAGTTACCCCAACCATTGAGCGCACATTGAACACAGAACATTAAAGAAATCCAGATGTATTGTATGCCTCTTTTACAAACCCATACAACTACTTGATATACAATGCATTAGTAAATCTCAGTGAAATTAAAAAAAGTTGATATAAAACAAGCACAAAGTGAAGAAATGTGGGTTGCCTGTAAGTTTTGCCTGATTAAAAAAAGGTGAACTTTTCTGTAGCATTGTCTGCGAGCATTTATTTCACCATTCAAGATCAACATGAAACAAACTTCCCAGTTAGGTTTTCAAAAAACAAGGTGAGGGATGACATGTACTCTCTAAACGGACCATCTATACACTGAAACCCTTTAACATAGCGCATCAACCCATGTGAAAATGATTAACATCACATAAAGAAAGAATCTGAAAAAGCATGTGAGTTGAGAATTTCTCCTCGTACAAAATACATTGTCACTTCATTAAACGTCTGGAAAACCACAAAAAAAGACAATCAAAACTATGTATGCATCTTCTTACACCGAGAGGCACTCAGTGTGATACGTTGTGTATTATTGCAAGCATATTCTCACTGATATTTGCTACAGAGTGGAGAGAAAAGGTCAACTTTGTCCTCAAATGGCAATTATTTCATGTAAATTTGTAACACTTTATGTGGTGCAAGAGGTTTACACTACTGGTCTGAATAAACCAGTCTTAGGATAGTCTAAAATGGGGAATAACAAAAGCATACCGACGCTGTTTATTAAAATCCAAGCACCACTTCCCTGCATCAGGTGAAGAACTATGCAGACACAAGAGAGGTAAATATTTAGTATCTTAAAACCTGACAAACTATAGCCTCAGTGAGTGGTTTTTACAATCAGACAAAGAAAAAAAAAACACAATATACTGCTGTTTCAGTTTGAATATTATCATTTTTCCACAAACCAGAAGAGCAACCTTAAATAGCTTGTTAATTAGCAGATACTAGCTTTGCTATAAGTCAGAAGGAAATAAGTGCCTTACCCCAAGACGAGCACACTGATACAGGTACTGGCTGGGTATTTTTTTACCACTATCATTTTCATTATCTTTATTATTTATTGAGTCCTAATATCAATAATACATTAATATGCTATGAAATGAATGGACTAATAGGGTGGCCAGGCTTAGGAATCAATACTTTGTTCACAAAATTAACTTACCTAGCACCACACATCATGGCAACACAAAATAAATGTCAGCACACCCTGTCGCTATCAAACTAATCCTAAAAGAGGGAGGCAAACTAGAAACAGAGCTATCGTACAATATGGTGTCATTGAAAAACAGATAAATAGTTTCACTGGGTAGGCCTTTAGTAGCAGTATTTTCCTCTTACCTATACAGACAGAAATTACAAAGCTACCTTTATACATGTGATCAATAATAACATTAAATATTGTGAATAAACAGCCGAGGATGAGGGAGAGAGAAAGAGTGAGAAAATAAGATATACAGCATACAGGCCATGTCAAGTTCTTAGTTCTCCACCTGGGAACGGAACTGGTCAAATATACAGATGAAACATAAAAACATCCACAAAATCAACACAAAATGAACCAAAATGTGATAAATAAGAAGTGTATTTACATGCAGATGTTCAAAGACTATTATGCACAAAAGGATTAAAAATAATACACAGACATATATTATTGCTTGACATTCGATTATGGCTAAAAGTTGCTTTCCATTTTTTTTTTTTACTATACTCTTAAACATATTTTTAATCATAAATCCTTATCAGCTGTGCTTTGGAAAATGAGTTCTGTTCAAATGTGACGACTGACTCATAATTCTGGCTAACACATCGACACTCCAGCACAACGTTAAGCGTGACATAACGCTGATCTTCACAATTTACGGCCGAGAAGACTCATTTTCACAATTTACACTCCAGAATTCATTTCAATTCTTTCCAGCTCAGGCCGTGGCCGCGCTGTCTCGACCGACAGCGAATGTGTTTCCTCTGTGAAGCTGCTCAATGTTGCCTCACAGCATTCTGCAGACTCTGAATTGTTGAAGGCATTATGTCACGCTTTTGAAACCTACACCTATTATGGATGGATCAAGCTGAGCATTTCCAAAACCTTATATTCTTAAAAAAAGTCCAAAATAAAATCCTCGTCCATATAACCCTGTTCCTTTGTAATTATTAAAGCCTTGTCTGGGGTTTATTTTATTCACACACTGTGAGAACAAAAACACACACACACACACACACTCATACACACACTATTGCTTTTTACACACAGACAACAGAGCAGAGACAGAAGGACCAGCACATTTGACTGTAGACTATACACTGATTGAATAGCACACTTAGCATCAATCCCTTGCTAAAATGGGATATCTCAATTGAGAATATACAGAAGGACATCACTTTACAGGCCTGTGTGAAGACGCAGGTAATGTTTGGACACAAGTAACCATGTATCCGATGACCATTTTCTGCTATCCTGCCAATATCGCAAACATACCAGTACATAAGATGAAAACAGAGTGATGGGGCTTGTTGTTTTAGACAGAGTAAACATCATCAGTTTCAGCTGGATGAGTAAAGTCAATTCAAATAGAGTGATGACTGCACTGTAGAGACCCGTAATTGTAACACAAGGCATATTGCTCGTTTTAAATATTGTAGAACACATTACATGCCACTTGAAGGAAAAACAAATGTTCACTTTATGAGAGAAGTATTGGTGGTAGACCTTCGCTGATAATATTTGAGAAAATACTTAATTATTTGATGTGACCACCAAGCGATATTACAATAGCTTATAATAACAGAATCATTTTCAAGAAACAAACTGATTTTTTTTGCAAATAAATAACAGGATATCAGCCAAACCTCCAGCTCTTAATTAGTATCCGAACAGTAAGTGCTGTTCAGTGTGCTACGCCGCATCCTCTCATCAATCGAGTGCTTTGAAGAGATTTTTTAAAGACCTCATGAATTCAGATGAGAGCTATTTAAATGCTCTGCATCCATCCAGAGGAAAGTGAGCTGCTTCTTCGGTCTACCTGTTACCTCCCTGAGCGTTCACACCTCTTCCTCTCTCAATGCTCTCGCTGGATTGTCTAGCAGTGTTCCAGACGGGTTTCTTTTGCTGGGAGACTGAGGTTTACTAGTCGTAGAGGGCTTGTGCATATCCAAATAACATTGGATCAAAACAGAGATTATTACTTAGGTACAGCATATCTACTACAACCCAAACACAACAGATTTAGTATTGCATAAGAATATTTGGTTTCTCTAACAAAGAGGGTTATCATTTTTAAAGACCCTGATGATACCGTTTTAAACCAAAACAGATTTTTTTTTTGTGACAGGAATATGCTGTGTGTTGATAAAACTGCAGCTTGAAAAAGTGATGGGGTTTGTTATTTTTGAGATGAGATTTTCTTGAACTTGACTGCAGGGGCGCAGTGGTTTTCTTAGTGGCTGGGGGCCCCTTAGAGACAATAATAATAATGTAAAATTGTGATAAATATTCAAATGTTAAATCTCAACCACTTCTCATGGAACATCCCTGACAAAAACACAAACTAAACCTAATGAATACAAACAAATGTCCTCTAAAAACAGAAAGCGCAAAAGGAACTCTTCCCTGAGGGGTGACAGCACAAGGCATTAACACCTTGTACAAATTGCACGGCAGAGGAATGATAGTGTGCAAATAGAAAACAAAAGACAAACAACTGGATGCTATGTTACGGTTGGTGACAGATGTATCAACATGCTTTGTTGGGTTTCTAAAGGGGTATCATTTTTTTTCTTTTTCTTTTTTCTCGCTCTTTTTTTTTTAAAGATATTTCTAGAAGCCGCTACTGAGATTGCTGGAATGTCTTAGGAATCCATTCTACGTTATAGACGAGTAGACTGGAAAGCAGAAGCAACGACTACTGTTTGGCACATCCAGGGTTTTTTCTACCACTTTACTACCACACTGACAAGAAAGACACACTCAACAAAACAGAAGCACGACAACAAAGCATTCTGAAAATAGCACTTGTCCTACCATTTTTATGTTTCTCCTCCTAATCATACAAACAACAGCTAGTCTAATTATTGCAGGAATATAGTTAAGTGCTACCTGACATCTTTTTCTCTCCCTTGTTCTCTTTCATGAGTTCATTAACCAAAACATGTTACAAAAATAGAAGCTTTACTACCAGACAAGGCTTTGAATATTCACTTTCCCTTCACTGTTTCTTCTGTGTCCTGTTGTGGCGTGGCTGAGGCTGCGGTGAGAAGGCAGATAAAGTAACTCGAAAAACAACAAAAAAAACACTCCAAACATTTTGACAGAGGCTCATGAATGTGCTTTAAGGTTAGACCTTGTATGTTTGTCATTAGGCTGTCAGTTTGCCTGCTGTATCTTTACCTTCCACTAGATGGAACAATTGGATTACAGTCTATGTGTGTATGAGTCGATGTTTGGATCTCTCCAGTCCGACCGCACTACCAGACTGAGATGTTTCCTTGTAGCCTTCTTTGTATAATACGTGCGATTTTTGAAAGGCAAATAAGAACCAGATATCATTAAAAAAAAAGAAGTGTATGAATGCCATTGTGTCACCATGCAATACCTCAGTTTTCTTGTCTTTAAAAAAGGTTTAAACAAATGCAGGTCTGTTCATAACTAAAATAAAGAAGGAAGAAGACTGTTACGCCACTAAAAGGTTTGTTGGCTGTTTTCGTCCGTGTTCACTTCTGCTAAAAAGGATTATCAGAGCTATATTTTGAGAGGTTACATGCAGGCTGAGGTAAAAGGTGCTCCTTTCACCCTGCCTTCTCATCCATGCCTCTTTGTTCTCCAACCAGCAGCCTCACGCTAACAGACAGCCCTTACACTTCCACACTAGAATCATCTGCAGCTCCCAGGACTAGCCTCTGTGACCATGGTTCAACTTGTATTTCTTGTGCACATGCAACACATCACTAGGTAAATATACAATTCTTAAATTAAAGAAAGGTGTAAATAAAAGTGCCTTATCAATTCAACAGTTAAGAATGGCCTAACTACTAATATCATACATGTTATTTAAAATAGATTCTATAAACATTACTTTTTTTCTGTATAGTAAGTACTTATGACCATATACCCTGTAGTACATTATAAAACAGGTGGAATGGACCCTTTTCATTGTGTTGGTGCCCCGTGCTTTCCAGGGCACCAGTCCAGAGAAGGATTAATAGCAGATGGCCTTACATGATTTCACTATGCAACAATGGTGGATGGAGTCTTTGACAGCTAAAATCATTGCATTTTCATTAGAATTACCAGAATTCTATGCTTCTTTTTTCTTTTTTTTTAAACGATTGTCCATAGAGAGGTGCCGATTGCATCACCATGCCGACAGACCCTCCCTCAAAGTCGCTGTGAGTTTTCATTCCAAGTACTGCGTCCAAAATATATACGACTGAACACAAGAGAAAAAGGGGCTGAACTTGACCAAAATGTGCGCATTTTAAGTTTGTTTCAGTTAGGGGGGGTAAGGGATATGACTATTCATAGTTTTGAAGGGGAAATACTAAAACGTTTTGGGAATGCAATGTGAAAAATAATACTGATGCAGATTTATCTTCTAATTGAAGACGTGTTCTGCTTTTTTAATTCCAAAGACTTGGTAATAGTTTGTACTATTACAAGTCATATGAACAGGTAAATCATATTAAAGGCAATGCAATAAATACTGGTGAAAATGACTGAATAAAGTGAATTATGTTGGAAATGCGCAAAAGAGGGTCAAGTTCAACCAGACAGAAATTATTTGTCCCTATTTCCTCTTCAGGTCCCATGGGGTGTTGGGTCCCACAAGTCTTCCAAAGAGAACTAAAATTCAATAAAGTAAACCTTGAGAATCAACTCCCTAAGCCCTCCCCTCCGATGTAAAAGAAGAAGTTGAACAGCGTGCCATCTGTCCGCTCTGGTGTGTGCAGGGCACCAATAAAGTGTCTCAGATTCCTCCTCCACATTCCCCTACGGTGGGCACACTGGCACCTGGCAGGGCTGCTACCCGTCAACGGGCATGGACTGCTCAAAGTCTGATCCGAACAGCTCCTTGTATAAGGGAGGGAAGTGGGCACGCACAATGTCTGGGTATATTGCTTTGAAAGCGGTAAGCTTCTCTGTATGCCTACTGCACAGCGCTCGCAGTGTCGACACTTTGCATATCAACTGTGGAGAGAGAGGAGACAGGCTGTTTAGATTCACGGGGAGGCAAGGACATGGAGCAATGGTAGTGAAAAACATTCCTCCCTACAGTGTATTCCCTTTCACCAGGGGGGCAAACAGACTTGTAAATATTGAGACAAGCGCTCAGGCGCAAGGAAAACTTGACAAGTCATATTATGGAGCTGGTACAATTGATAAATGTACTCTTCTTTACTGATAAAAAGGCATTTCATGCAACATTAAGGTATTTCCTCTGTCTGTCTTAGTTTAATCTAACACACTAAAATGGTTGATGGCCTGTGGATAAAGATCCTAAACAGTGGGAGATTAAACTGCTACAAGTGTAGAGCCTGCTGAGCTGACAGACACTTTCAGGAGTAATGGATGGAGTGTGTGCTGCAGCGCACTGTACCTTTGTAAGAATACCATCCTCTCTGTGGTTCTTCTGCAGGACGTGCTGGAGGGCCAGTTGGATCTTCTGCTGGAGTTTCTCCACCTTCACTTTCTCCTGGAGCCAAGACCGGTCTGGAAAGTAAATTATAACAACTTTTAATTACTGCAAAAAACACACGTAGGCCCTTAAAAAGTCAACTTGGCTCAAAGTAATGATGAAGTGGCACTAATATATGGAACTAATTGACAGAGGAAACAGGAGGGCAACAGCGTTCCTTGTCGTGCTGATTGTGCGTCTACTTATTTTTTCTCTTTGCTCTGTGAGTGACACCTACCAGCAGACATCAACACGAAGGCGGAGAACAGGGCGATCTCATCCTCAGACAGGTGCATAGAACACAAGTTTTTCCCAAACTCGAAGACGGAGCTGATCAAATCGTCACAGCCTGCCACAGCAAAGGACACAGAGAGAGGGCTTAGGATGAGGAAGACCAAAGAACAACATTCACTCTTGATCTTTATTGGGAGAGAGGCACACAGGGAGCGGAGAGGAAGGAGAAGGAATGAAAAAGAGCGGCATGCTGACAGCACATGGGAGCTTCTTAAGCAGAACAGGCAATGTTTTTACTGAGTTTTGCCTCCCAGACGAGTCACTTTTGGCAGTTGGGTGGTGTTATGCAAGCCAAAATGAGGTCACTATTGAGGCTTTTAGTTAAATCAATTATCGGGGATAGAGAGACAGCCGGATGCCACCGCAGCTCGGGAAGCCCATCACTCTGCCTCCCCTGCCGCAGACCCCTCTGTACAGAACACACAGGACACTGGGACTCTCGAAGCCAGGACACATACACATGCTCATTCACACACAATCAGAGAGGTAAAAGGAATGGAAATGTACACCAAGAAACAGAATTCAGCATTTTCACTACCACCGTGGGGACTCATTTACATTTTTCTCCGTCAAAAGGCAGTCGAAAATGCAAGAAAATCCATCGTGAGAGTGAAACTAATGTCATGGCAGTCAAACACGATTGCTATTTGCTTTCACCTGAGATGTTTTATATCAAACTATCAATGATGGTTTTGATAGCGCTCTCCCTAAAGACTCTCCGTCTGGCTTTATATATTCCACAGTTACAGGAGCTATATGTAGCCGAGCCGGCCTAACATCTCTCTTCACCATAAATAACCACTGCAGAGACAGAAATTGCAGGTGAGGCTAGGAAACATGCTCAGGGTTGGCTTTCAGGCCCCCAGCATTGTGTTAAACAGCACAGCACACTCTCATTTGGGCTATTACACCAAGAGAAGGAGTGAGACACTGTAAGAAACACACACACATGCAAGCTCATTCAAACATGCACACATCCACCCACACACACATATACACCCACTCCACTTACCTAATGACTTGAACACATCAGGTCCGGCATACTTTCCATCAAAATAGACGGTGTTGTTTTGCGAGTCAAAGGCACGGCACATTCTGACAAACACAACTTCCAAAGAGCCTGTGGAGACAGACAGGAACAAGATGCTGAATCTGAGCGTTGTTTCTTTCCCCCCCCCCCCTAACAGTTACACATCAGTAAGGAGTGCAAAACACATGATTGTGCTTTGTGCTATTCTTCAACAATATGAATAACAAAACCACTTTGAAATAAAGAAGCCTGCCGTCAAAGGAAGAAAAAGAAACACCTCTGCAGATGATAATATCATAGACTGAAGGCTACTCTTCCATAATAACCTGCCAGATAACACATGTGCTTTATTCAGTAGTGACAGTGCTTATTCATTCAACCTTTATTTAGTAAAATAGGTAGAGAATTTATTCCATCCTGCAATTTTGTAGCACTCTGTGGGAGTGGGTAAGAGGATCAAGAAACATGTAACAGAAGCCATTACTGCCTCTAAGGGAGATGCTACTGTTTTAAATGTCATGTCTGACAAGGGATCTCAGTCTTTATTTCAATATTCATATTGGTTGTGCTAATGTAAATAATACTCAGGGAAAGACCCGGGAGATATATTTGTTTGCTGCGTGCGCTGTGTGTTTGTATCTGTGTGTTCGAGTGTCTATATTTATGCATACATAGGTGACAGAGAGCCATAGCTTTATTTAATATTCTCTTAGTATGTGTTCATGAGAGCAGTTTGAATAAGCAGACATCAATCGATGTGTGAAAAAAGAGAGGGGAATGTCAGCCGTCATGACAGGCATTATCTGAACTTAGAAACACATTGCTTATCTAATGCTGTGTCCATCGCTGCTACATGTAATGAACAGAAGAAAATAGAGAGCGACAGAGACAAAAAGAGGAAACAGGCAGGGTGGGGTCTCCTCCCTGGAACACTGTCTGTACGTGTGAGGAAGAGGGCTTTGTGCAGTCAGGTCAGCTACGCCCTTGTGACAATGCCAGAGGGGGGTGGTGGGTGAGTTTGACGGCAGCAGGCCATGTTGACAGGCTGTCATACCTGCTTTCAGCAGCACTATCTGATCGTTCTGACACAGCTCCATGAAGCCGTCGATGCGCTTGGCGAACTCCACCACATACTGAATGGCCTCCGTTATTTTGATAGCACACAGCTGCCACATGACTTCCCGGGGCTAAGAACACAAAGGACAAAGAATAGGTTATCTTAAAACAATGGAGTTGATGACTGTAACTGCTGTGGAGGCCAGCACAGGCCCAGTTGTGGTCAAAGTACCTTGCTCTGGTAGCTCTCCACCTCCTCCTGCAGGAAGGCCTGCCAGGTCATCTGCTGCAGCTCCTCCCTCAGGTACTGACATGTCTCCATGTGGGACTTGGAGATGTTCTGGGCCAGGTGCTCTGCAACAAAACCGCCGTCAGAAACCCACAAGATCACAGTTGAGATCTGAATGTTTCTCACAAGGCTACGTATGTGAAAGGGAAGACCTCACTGCTGGAATGTGCCACAGGAAAAGAAGATTTATTTACTGAGCGTTCAAAAAGGAGGAGAGGCGGATACGCGTGGGCTTTTTTTTGACTGGGAAAAGGCTTGTTGACATTTCCTTTTACTGCCTGCAGGAAGCTCATAACTTAAGGTTGAGGCAAAGCCAATTTAGTTATGACACAAATGCACGGAGAGGAGGAGGGGCGCCACGTTACTCACTGAAACAAAGGTCACATTTTCTCTGAGAGAAATATTGAGTATAAGAATTTAAATGGTTTTGAAAACACATCTGTTAAAAGGAGTTCCTAGGCACAGGGGAGCCTAAAAAAATGATTTCCCCAGACGCCTGCCCTGCTGGATCCTGATTGGCCCTAATTAATGGAAACTAATTACAAAAAAGAGGCTCTTTTAATGAGTGTTGGAGATGAGTCTCCAACCTCCTGCTATTTTAAGCAACCTTTGTGTCGTTTGCCCCACGGTTGAGTTGTTCTCCCCCCCTCCTCCATTTTGCTGTTTCTCCTTTCGTATCCCCCCTGTCTCTTTCCTGCTTCTTACCTAGTTCAGCCATAGACACTGTAGGGGAGGTTTCTCCGTTGGTGAAGGAGCAGTAGGGGAAGAAGCCAGAGCCGGGGGCAAAGTCGCAGATGGGCTCTGGTTTGATGCCGTTGATGTCCAGGCCTGACTGGTCAGGAGACGGCTGGATGTCCAGGTAGAAGCTGCTGACGGCAGAGTCTGGTTTGCTGCCATCAGGAGTGTGACCATCCATGTAGCCGCTGAGGTCGTCATGGAGCTCTGTGAGGCCATTGGCTGAGAGGCCATAGCTAGGTGTGAGTGGCTCCGCCTCTCCTGGCTGTTGTTGGTGTTCACGCTGCGCCTGCGCCAGCCTGTGCTTCTGCACCTCAGCGTACAGGCTGTCCCGCTGCTTCTTCGACATGCGGCCAAACTTCACCGCTGTGAAAGGACAATACACAATAAAAATGTGTCAGACTCAAGGGAAACATCACAAACAATAAACAACAAACTTAATACATTCATAAAATCGAATGAAAGACCAGGTTAAATGAGTGCATGTCTCTTCAAGAAATGTGACATTTGTTTTAAACTTGATTTTAGAGTATTAATTTAATAGTTGATTTTTAATATGTACTCTCTGATAAGTAAACTAATATTACCAGTGGGTTACCAACACAAGTAGACTTATCAAATTATCTGTCACATTGGCAAAATGCTACGTAATTGAACCAAAAACAAATACTTGCTTGGACAAAATGAGTTGTTTGGCCAAGGAAAATATTAAATTAGGGATTTTTGGGCATATTAATTCCCTATTTGCTCTTCAAATGTGTATGTCATTCTAGTTGTGCCTCCCATGACACAGTGACACAACACTAGTCTATCTGAAGTCATATGTTACTATGACAGCAGGATATGCCTGCTTTAAGCATCATACTCCCCTATACTGATCTACAGTACAGTACACAAGAGGGATATGCACTTTTAACAGATGACACTGATACAAAATAAACTAATTCCCATATTTCAGGAGGGATCAGTAGTGACATATATTATTACTAAAGTAAAGAGGCACAAGTGGGAAGTGACTAACAGCTTACCAGCCACTCAAACATAAAACCGGCTAAGTTGCTGCCTCCTGTTTCAAGGCTTCCAGACTACACATTGGGACTGAGAAAACTCTTTGGCCAGCGTTTTGGCCTGGCAGGATGTCAGCCGATCACAGTATTTGTGTGTGTGTGTGTGTGTGTGTGTGTGTGTGTGTGTGTGTGTGTGTGTGTGTGTGTGTGTGTGTGTGTGTGTGTGTGTGTGTGTGTGTGTGTGTGTGTGTGTGTGTGTGTGTGTGTGTGTGTGTGTGTGTGTGTGTGTGTGTGTGTGTGTGTGTGTGTGTGTGTGTGTGTGTGTGTTTGTCTAGGCTCAGTGGAAGGTGAATTGAGCCACAAGGAAGAGAGTGCAGGCAGATGGGCTCTGGTGTGTTGAGTGAAGGCAAGAGTCACCTTCGCTGTCCTGAGTTTGTGTGTATACGTGTGTAAGTATGTTTGGCTATGCAAAGCCACTCATAAGTGCTAATCTACGTCTGTGTTCATTCTCATTTATGAATAGTTATGCGTGAGTGGGTAACTGAATTTAAGTAGTGTGCACAAAGAAAGGCCAGCCTCTGTGCATGTATGTTCAAGTTTTCTAATTTCCGTGTGAATTCCTGTGTGTGTTTTACTAAAAGAGAAAATATTAGAGAGGCTTTGTTCTGACAAATGTACCTCAGCTCAGCCCAGTCTGGACTGGCCCAGCCTGGCTCAGCAGGAGCACTCCAGCACATATCCCCACCTGTGTGCTCCCATTACAGCATCTCAGCTGCAGCAGCACTAATGACAACCTCTAATAACCTCCTATTTCATCAAACCTAGTTTCTTTCACAGCAACAAATTAGTCCCGCAGACAAAGCACTCACCTGCTACAGGCAGACAATGAACATAGACTGCCTTCTTAGCAAGTGTCACAGTTATATTGGGATATGTGTTGTGTCTCTTTGAGAATAATGACGGTCATTATCTGTACGTGTGTGTGTTTTCTCTGTCTCCATACCTAAATATAGAAAGTACAAGAGCTGCATATTTATTATCAATTAATCTGCAGATTATTTTGGATTTATAAATCAATTAATCTTTTGGTCTACTCATTTTAAAGAAATATATATAAATGTCTATCCGACTTTCTCAAAATATAAGATTATTCACTTTAAAGGTGGGGTAGGTAAGTTTGAGAAACCAGCTCGAGATCGCTAGAATTTGAAAATACACAGCCGGAGAAAATCTGCCTCTTCCTTACAGAGCCCCTCCTCCAACACACACGAACGTGCACATGACCAATGAGGGCACGAGATAAGTTTGTGCACAGATGGAAGGCTGACAGGCAGGTAGGCCATCCAGTTATTTTAGCCGGGCCGGCTAAAATGATTGGTCGTACTTTTTACAGTATTACGGCTTCCACAGATGACATTTTTGCATGGATTTTTTGTCAAAGCACTTAAGATATTCATTGCTATCGGGATGTTAAGAGCATTCAATGGAATATAACAAAAAGTGTATCTCGAGCCGGTTTCTCAAACTTACCTACCCCACCTTTAATATGATGTGAGAATAAAGAAAAGCAGCAAATCTCTTTGAAAAGGCTGAAAACAGCATTTTCTTTTAGGAAAAATTACTTTTAACTTTGAATTTATATTAAATATTGTTTCAATTATTTGTCTGATATTACAGCTCTAAGTACCACACGCTATAGGGTTAGGAATGAACAGCTTAATCGAGAAAAGCTCACAGGTTTTAATTTCTATGTAAAAGCACACATTTGTTATAATGTTGTTGGCTTTACTACTACTCTTTCTTTAATATACCTCAAGCTCAAAATCTTTACCGATTACCTCTTAATATATACCCAGATAAGGACACTTTTTTTCCTGCGCACTCCAAAAAGTTGCACTTCCTGCTGTAAGAAGACTAGTTTACATCAGAAAATGTACTCTCCTTTTATGTGTTATTGCTCTTTTAATCCAATCTTCAATCAATCTTATCACAAATAACCACTATCAATAATTTCCTGAAAATGACAAAATATATTTTGATCTCCTGAGGGAATTAGTTCTTCTCTTGCTTGCCTTAATAGGGAGGTCACACAGCATCTCTGAAGCGCTGGTTCAAAGGCACTCCAGCAGATCCTTGCCCACACAGGGGCTTGAACCTGGGCTCTTCACCTCCCCTGACTCACTATGTCACCCTGCTGTTTCCACCCACCTTTTTCATCAGGCACTTACCATCTCGTGACATGCCCACTGCCAGGCACTTCTGCAGCCGGCAGTGCTGGCAGCGGTTGCGGCTGGTGCGGTCGATCAGGCAGTTCTTCTGACGGGGGCAGGAGTAGGCTGCATTGCTCTGCTGACTCCTCCTGAAGAAGCCCTGCAAAAAGGAAGGGGCATGGAAACACTGAGAGTGGAACAAATGTTCTGGGACTGCAGAATCAATTTATGTCTTCATAGTGTTTTAGTGCTGATCAAATTCATTACTGATTGATAGTGATTTGCTGTATTCCTAGTGGTGATATTTCTATTTGACTGCTGCCAAACATTAGGTAATAATACTACTGTGACATTATTTTCCTGGCTGTTATGCTGTAACATCTGGCATTCAAAGAGCGCTTCATTTCACCAGCGTGTACAGCATGAGGGTGGTGTGTTTGGGTAGGAATGATAACAGTGGATGGTATTTTTCTTCAGTGGGGTTATTAGTGTTGATTAACGCAGCACCGGCATGTGCAGTGCTAAAGGATTGAGAATGCACACTGACTGGATTCCTCATACTTTGACTTAATGAATTGAATCCAGCACATCATTAACATGCCCCACTCCACGGCTCCATACACATATGTCTTAATTAGCTGCTCATTGGCTGTTTAATTACAAGAAAACAGCTGACAGCTGCCAAGTTGCTTTATAATGGACGCCATTATGGAAACAGGCTATAACTGCCAGTGACAAGCAGCACTCTTTAATAATGCTATGATTTATGGTCCAAACTTTTATACTCGCACATATCATTAGAGGCCTCTCTGCTGTGGACTAATTAGCAATCATTAAAGATTGAATTCAGCAGTTTATTCTTTAGTGGTTTGTTCCTTCCAGCTCCTTTGTGAGGGAGAGGAGCACTGGGAAGAACTGGTCCCTCTCTCTCTCCTTCTTTCTCTCTCTCCCTAATACACACTCACACAGACACACAGGAGAAAACAGTAAAGGTGCAGGCTGGCTGAGGAATGCTAATGATGTGCTTGGTGACAAGCACAGGGACAAGAATACACTCTAAGCACAAAATTCCCCTCACTGTGAATGGCTGGCGTATTTGAAACAGTACAAAAGGCGGCTTCAATGGAAGCAACACTGTAGCAAACAGCCAACAATCTGCTATAATTCAAAGCACTCTCCTTTTGATCATTTTATTTCAAGAAGAGCAGACTGCAGCAGAAGCAGAAAGAAAACTGTGAAAAGACATGTCCCTGGGAGGGAAAGGCAGAGCATGGCAGAGAGATGACTTTGTCCTACTAATTGTAGTTTTCTGTGATGCTTGACCACTTTAATGATCATGTTCTGTGTGTTTACACTTTGCCTTTTTCTAAATCATTGTAAAACTTCTGCAACATTTTCAAACGTTTTTCCTAGCAAGCAACTTTCTTTACCTCCTCAACTTTCCCTGTCTTCCCCCTCTAAGCTCTCCTGTCACACACACACACACACACACACACACACACACACACACACACACACACACACACACACACACACACACACACACACACACACACACACACACACACACACACACACACACACACACACACACACACACACACACACACACACACACACACACACACACACACACACACACACACAGTCTCTTGATGCTTACCTTACAGCCTTCACATGTTATCACACCGTAATGGATGCCTGATGATTTGTCTCCACAGATCTTGCAGGGAATTATTTCGATTTGAGCTGCAGAGAAGAAAAGGAAACAAAATAAATAAATAAATAAAAAATCAACATTTTGCTGTCACAAGTCACTGTACAACACCCTCACCATGGATCCATGTTGGTACATGAAAGAGCACTGTGCTTCTAAAAACACCTTATCCGGTGGTTTTTGAATCTGCACTTCCACAGAGCATTAGCTGAATATTTACAGAGATGGAAATTTGGTGTGTGTGTGTGTGAGAGAGTGATTGGAGAAGGCCATTTTAAGTATTCACAAGCAGCCAATGTAAATACAATTTACACAAGGAAAAACCCATTGACCGATAAACCTTAAAACAGTGCCGTAGTACTAATAGTCTTGTGCAATGACAAAGGCTTATTAGGTCTCATGAGGCAACATATTCGCTGGTGGAAAACTTGACTTCTTGAAGCCTCTTAAACTTCAAAACCATAAAAACCTCAGGAGTTAATCCATTGCGGCCACAAAGAACATGGCCACTTTGCTGCTACTGTCTTCTTCTGTATATGCCACAGGGAAAAGTGTTCAGTGGCTGTGATGCTGTGCTGTTGACAGGCCTGTGATATACCCGCCATAGAGGACAAAGGCACAGAGAGGACAGGCCTCATCCATCGTTGGCCTTCTCTTCAGGAGCGGACCACAGGGCAACACAACAGAACACACACACATCAGAGACACAGAACTCCCAGCTCGTCCCACTGCTCTCTGCTTCATCACTGCAGCCACCGATGCTACATCCCTCTCCACCTCCACCTCCCCCCCTCCCGCCTGTCTTTCTCTCCCTCCGGAGATCTCTATCTCGCAGCCTTCCTCCACATCTCCAGCATCTCAGTCCCACCATCCCTACAGTGCACTGCAGCGCCAGACGAAATCCGCTATCTGATCTAAATCGAGGAAAGATCACCGCAGGATATTTCCTCACCATGAAATGCTTTTTCTGCAACCAGCCATGCAGCCAACCAATCAGAACTATTGCAACACAAGTCTTTACCAATTAGGGTAGGAATATTATGATTTTTGACTTAATAAGATGCTATAAAAATTATAATAATGAAACAAGTGGAGATATATTCGCTATGTCAAAGTGTTACATCAGCCTCCCCCTCTAGCCAGGCCTAACAGTCTCTTGCAAAGACTAGGAGCTTCAAATATCCCTCGTACACCTTAACATCCAACCTATTTAAACCAGTTTGATCACATCAAAAGTACTTTTGCTAAAGTTCAATCCAGAGATCCCTGCCCATTTTAATCATCTGCCTGGGAGCTTGTAATGTGTCATGTGGATAATGTCCTTGTCCCTCAGGCATGCCCGGGAGAGGCCCTTAACACAGAGCCTCTAATCCACTAACCCCGGAGCCACACTCTATTCATTCAGGAATCTGTGTCTGTTCTCCTCGCGCTGCTGGAGTCAACAAGACCGGCCATGTTTACATGGAATTAGCCTACATTTTAGTAAAATTAACAAAAGGGAGTGGTGGAACATGCACAATTAATTCTCCTCCAGACAACACCTCCTGCGATTTGTGATTCTCACATACAATAGAGGGCACTGCACCTCGTCGGCCCGGATTAGAGTGAAATCCAGGCAGTAGGCGGGCTGTGACAACCTAACTGAGAGGGTTAATTTATAATTAATCTTTTCCTTACTGTGCGCAGTTGCTTGTTATTTCGGTAAGGTCTATCTCTGTATGAGTGCACTCTATTGTTTGTTTTTGTGTTCTCCCTGCATGAGCATTAGCAGTGCAGTGTGTTTCGACTCCTTTAGCGTTTTCAGCCTCATTACTTACATAATTTGTTCTGACATGCACTCACAACAACTGAAGCGTGCTGTAATTATGACTAGCTGTGGTTATGGTGAGCTAAAGGTTGTAGTGACAGGCCCCAGCCATTGGGTGGCAGTGCAGGGCTGTGCCTATGCATGTCTTGCCAAAGTTAAGCCAAGCTTCCACCCACCCTATCCAGCCCACAGGCTTTTGGCTCTGAGCTCCAGCCTCTGATAGCTCCAGGCTTAGGCTGCTGCTTGCTTCCCCCACCCCCACAGCATAGCTCTGAGATGCCTTCATCTCTCCTGAAGAAGCGGAGCTGGCCAGGCGCTCGTTCAGGCCTGACAGAGGCTGTGCCACATCAGGTGAAAGCAGTGGGAGTAGAGACACGGGGGTGCCAGGCCGGGCAGGGCATACACATACATGAGCATGCCTCACAAAGCCCTATCTGCAGCAGGAAGACCTGAGTGCACATAGCCTCACCAGCTAACACCCTCTCACTCCACCGCTGCACAAGCCCCTGGATGCTCTGTGCACTCAACAGTAAAAAGGGTTTGTCTCTGGACCGGCTGAGGCAGGCTCTGTAGTTTCTTGTATAAGAAAAGACCTCAGTTTGAACATATAGTAATTTTCACAGTAGGATAAGCTGCTTTCAAAAAGATGTGGAGAGGGGGGTCAAGGAGAATAAATATCCGGCAATGATACAATGGAGTTCAAATACACCATAAAGTCACCTACAGCATCAGACTAAGTCGGTGTTTGTATATCTGTATTATTGCTACAGTTGTCCTCTTGAGTGACTGGTCATGAGGCCCCTAAGCTACACTTTGGACACTGAGGATGATTCAAAATGAATTCACAGCAGAGAGACATTCAAACAAAAAGGCCTGCGCTTATAAGCACTACCAATCTGGCAGTCAATATATATTGACATGAGCTGCGGTGTTAACTGCCTCTTGGTGTGAAACAGGCAGCTGCTGGCTTGCTTGAGCTTGACCATCGCAGTGCCACTGATCCCATTCACTGCGCCTGCCTGCCTGCCTGCCTGCCTCCCTGCCAGCCAGCACTGCCTGCTCTGTTTACGACATCAAAGCCAGGCACAGTTAGACGGGCAGCCATGCTAAAGCCCATCCCAACCGCCTGACGCTCCTCATAGCGCTGCGAGATGGCCTCTGCACGCAGTCCACTTCAAAGACACCTGCTGAGACGCCAAGATTATGTGTGATTCACACTGCAGCACAAATCACACTGCGCATAACCATAAGGGTCGGACTGCGGCTCAACACTGATTTCCTGTATGCAGCGTTGCAGCCTGGCGTGGGTGTCTTGGACAATGGGCATGGCAGAGAGAGGAGACAGTCAAGCCCAATGCTAAAGCGTGTTCTTTGTCTGTCTGTGGTTGAGCAGAGAGAGGATACTGATTCACCACACTAGCAGGCCCTTTGAGGGGATGACGTGTCACTCAGAGCACATGTACAATAGGGCAGCTAGGCCTCCTCTTTTTCACCCAGTGCCCTTGACTGTCTTCTGCACAGCCCTCAGATCAACCCACTGCTTAACTACACTACATTATCAAAGGCCTGGAAAGTGACAGTCAAATGTGAACACCAAGAACAATTTGCCAAATGCACACTAACAGCTTACAAGGGCCCTGTCACCGTTTATATTGTTAAGAGCACTGGATAGACAGACAGCGTCAGACAAGAACACTTCCTCAATATGCACTGCAAATGTAGCTTCAAAATCATTCACAGGAGATATTGAAATTGTGAAGCGGAGAGATGTATGGACAAATAAGTGAAATGTCAATAGGCTATGTGAATTCTTAATGAAAAATAATGATATGCAATAAGGATGAGCCAATACCTTTTAGAATGATATTGTTTATATTTTCAATCTAGCATGCTTGTAACCAAAAAAAAGTGAAAACAAAAAATCCTACATGCGTGTGCAAACATGGAAAATCACTTGTCAAAATGTCCCGGCTGTTTGCACTGAACCCTTGGACTACTGACATAACATCGAAGGATTAAGATTATCCCTAACATTACAGAGCCAGGCCCAGGCCACCGTCATAATGCTGATGGCTTAACCCATTACTCGATTGGACCATTAAATCATTTTCTCATTGCCCGATGATTCATGATAGGTGTGTACTGTACACTAACTGAGGTCTGAAATCAAGGCTTCTGTATACTGACCTGTCTATGGCGTTTTCTCTTGTTATCATTGGCTCATCTACAACACACATTCTGAAAAAAATGTGAAGCAGAAAAAAACCCACACATTTGCCTCTGTGCATGGTGGTGTGTGAGTGAGTGTATTGGTGCGTATCTGTGTGTGTCGCCGTGTTGTGTTGACAGCTGTCAATGACAGAGTGACGCAAGCCAGCGGGCTCATGTCAGACATTATGTAAGGAACTGAACAGAGCACAGCATTATGAGCAGATTAACAATGCTTTTCCATCAGACAAACTGTGTTAATAATACTTGCCCCTTTTTTATACTATTGCAACAAAAGCTTAAAAAGGATCACATGCCTGCTCTCAAGACTGTTATAAAAAAAGTCTGAATACCAGAGCATTTACACATGGTCAACAGACAAACACCAGAGGCTCTGAAACAGCTGGCAAAAGTGCACTGTGCAATGTTCCTGCTTCATTATGTGCTCCTAGCTATTCATTTGCTACGTGAACTTTCTATTTGGCGGTAGAGATCAGCTGTCGGTTGATAAAGAGTCTTCTTTAAACAGATACCCGTGACAGTCAGATCTCGCTGTACAGAGACGACAGCCTAACAAGAGCTGGAATCAGGATTCTGCCTCTTTTCATCTGCCAGGCTCTGCTGTCATGTGAAGCTGCACAACACAATACTTTTTTATTCCCATTTATGCAGCAGAAGAAAGGTTATTTGAATGTCAGCGGCAAAGGACAGTCGTGGCACGGAACACAGGCTGAATAGTATAAATGTGTTATTTGTTTAGGGATGGGGGCTGTTGGCATATTACCATAGAGCTGCTCTAATGGCATTTGCTGGTTTTAGCACAAAGAAGACACACAGCACTGTACAGACATTCACCTGCAGACCGAAACTCTGTATCATCACTTTAAACAGCTTCCATTCAACCTATAAACATGCTGAAGTCATCAAAAAAACATTCTGACCAGAGGGATTAGAGCAAGGAAAGACATAATTGACACATTTTGATGTCTCTATGCTGCGTCTTGCTAATTCCCCCCC